TCTAGATCTAGATCTAGAACTAGATATTATCTAGTCCTCATGCGTCTTTACGGCAATTTTCGTGCGGTCTTCCATCATGTCCAGGTAGGCCTAATAGATCTAGATCTAGATCTAATCTAGAAATCTAGATCTAGATCTAGGCTAGAAAATCCGAAATGTTACCGAAAGCACATCGTTCCATGTGGGTATCCCAGGAAGTGATGACATTACATTACTAAAATTAGCAGCCAATCAGAAAGATGCGTCATTTCTAAGTTTAACGGCATGTTCCTGGAACCCCCCGATTGGTCCAAAGCATGTCTCTATCTCGGTTAAAAACAATCAAATATTTCAAAAACTATTAATTTGCGACGGAAATGAAGTTGATATTCGTGTTCAGCTCATCAATATTTAGTACAAAATAGACAATTGGTAGCTGAGTGTGAGATGGGAGGGAAAGTAAAAAAATACCAAATTGGAGCTCTTTTATGTTGGTGGGTAGATCAAGCTTATTGTTGTGCTCGAGTGCTCGGTGTTGTGCGTTCGCCTCTCTGTCCCTCTGTGTGTGTGTGTGTGTATGTCTTTTCCTGACCCCCGTCCCCCGATTTATGGTCCCCGATTAAAACGTGAATTTCTGCTTGAGTTTGTGTGCGTTTGTGACCTTCTCTACTTCTAGAATTGCACCAAAGTGTAGGCTAAGGCTAGATCTAGAATCTAGATTGACTAGATTTTCTAGGCCTATGTCTCAATGAAAACACGCCAAGTTGGTACCGTAGCTCTAGACTAGAATCTAGATGCTCGTCCAATGAAATTAGTTGAGAACAAATTGACCCATTAGTCTTAGACACACATTATAATGTATAATGCTAAAGATAGTGTTGTTTTCAGACTTGACACCACTTCACTCGGTGGTAGGTAGGGCTGGATCCTGTTCGTCAAATTTGAGAGTGGCGATTCGCGATTCAGTCGGCTTCAAAGCCAAAGAATCGCGAGTACGCGAGCGCTCGTGGAACTGTGGCGGAACACTGACTGAAACGGAACAGTGTCATATCAACACCACTTCGCGAGCGCGAGTCCCACTCGTTATATAGAGTATAGACCTACCAAAGATTGTTCGTATACAATATGGTTCAATCGGTCTAAAAAATGTCCGCAGTAAATATTTATATTAAAAAATACTACAGTTCCAAACAGTTTTTCGCTACAGATATGACGTGTTGCCTTTGTGAAGGGTGCTGCTCTTAAACTTAATGTGTTGTGTTCACTCGTGTGCTCAGGGCTGCGTTACCCGTAAGGCTGTTTAGGCTGTAGCCTAGGGCCCCGCGCTTGCAAGAACGTTTAAAAATTGTTTTTCAACCAAAAAAAATTGTCCTCTTGTTGAATTGTTGTTGTTGTTTGTAGTTGTATTGCTGTTGTTTTTACAGTTGTTGTTGTTGTTGTTGCAGTTGTTGTTGTTGTTGATGTTGATGAGAAGGATGTTGATGCTACCGCTGTTGCTGTTGTTGTGGCTGCGGCTGATAAGTTTCGGCTGCCTCATACTTTGTAACAGAAATAGATCTATAAATGTGCTTGTCGTCGTCTTAATCCACATTATTGGTGGATACCGGTAGGCCTACATCTAATCACGTTTTTACAGAAGTAGCATCAACATCATCGAGGGGCCCCGGCCCCGCAGCTCATTGACAGCCTAGGGCCCCGCACTTAGTTAACGCGGCGCTGCGTGTGCTGTCTAGATCTAGATCTACGGAGGGTTATTGATAACGACACACATAGAACTAGCTTCAGCGTTTGTCGCTGCCGCGACCAATCAATCGTGGCTCGATTTTTTGGGTTTTTTTGGTCGGGGAATAAAAGTCAAATTTAAAAAAAAAAAAGAAACTCTTTACTTTTGAAAGAAAGTTCCCTTAACTTCACTTAGTCTCTTTCTCACTTGTTGTCACCACGTTGATTTGTTGAATACGTACAGTTACTTTTATTTTTCCCTCTTTGACTCTTTGTGGTGTTTTATTTTGTTAGTGTGTAACTTTTTTTCTTGTTAGTTCTGACGTGTTGTTTTTCCATCAATTTTTTTTTGTTGGGGAAAGGGGGGGGG